TTCTTTTTTTTTTCTCCCCCATTGATCTTCCGAAGCCTTTAACGCGCTGTTAAATACGATCGGTCTGATTTTGTACGTATTTAGATTTGTGATACGGTGAGATCGAATGAAACGCAGTTAATAATACGACATATTCGATGTATGGTTTTCCTTCTGAATTCCAAAAGAATCGTCCCATTAATCGATACAATTGTACATTCGATAATGTGTCATGTATAATCATCAGCAAGAGATTGAAAATTTTCAGAAGCATCGACAATCGTCGACAACCCGAGGACTAAATTTTTTTTTCTTTCCATGTTTTCACGTTTCTTTCCTTTCTCTTCTTTGTACGTGTAACATGTAACATGTATGCCTTGTAAGTCAATGTAAAAATAATTTAAAATTAAAGTGAAACTCCCTCGTGCCTATTTATACTAAGATACTAAGCTTATTTTAACACTTTGTTTTCTAACAACAACAGCATATCTTGACCATTAATTGAAGTATTATTGTATTATAAATAATAATATAACTTATAAATTATAAATATAATATTATAAATGTTATAAATGTAATATATAATATATATATAAATATTATAAATATTTACAGTATTATAAATATAATATAAATAATAATATAACAATACATATAAATAACAATTGTTTTACTTTGAAATCTGACATTATGTAATTTAAAAAGCTATTATTAATACAGTATAATTCTTTAAACGAGAAGAAAACATTATAATAATAGTTATATAATAACATAATAATAACATTATAATTTAGTGTTAATGATAAACTGTTCATAATTTAATTATAATTATAATATAATTTATGATAGTTATAATATAATTTAATGATAGTTATATAGTAACATTATAGTTAAATATAAATAGTTATATATTTAATTATAATTGTAATATAATTTATGATAGTTATAATAATATAATATGATAAAATATATATAATATATATAATAATATAATATAATATAATATGATAGTTATAATATAATTTAATGATAGTTATATAGTAACATTATAGTAACATTATAATTTAGTGTTAACGATAAACTGTTCATAATTTAATCATAATATTACACGGAACAATTATTTCGAGATAAAGCATAAAGCATTGTCGTAAAGTAAATTAAGAAATGTTGTACAATGAGTGATAATGAATCTTCTCATAAATCTTCCATTTTTCAGTATGGCGATACACCGTTGCATACGTCTGCGAGATATGGACACGCTGGAGTGACGAGGATCCTGATTTCTGCGCTTTGTCGTGTATCGGATCAAAATAAAGTAAGCAGAGATTTGAAACACTATAGTTATAGTATTCGTGTACATTGTTGCACCCTTCTTCACGTGGTTGAACCTTCCAAAAAAATTTGATAAAATTATCAAACAAACTTACGAATAAATGTATTCTTAGATTTACGAGTAAACGATTGGACAAACATTCTTAGAACATTTATTAGAGAATCGCAAACAGAACCTTGATGAATTAATTTACAAATAATGTATGTATTTATTATCAGACTCAGAAACTCGACAAAATTGTACTTAAATCATATTTACCTGTTCACTGTACTTACGTCTACGAGAAGACTCTCTTTAAGACACAGTAATAAAAGACGATGCAAAAAGAAAAGGAAGAAAAAGGTGAAAATATTGTTCGTCCTTCAACGTGTTAAAAATCGAAGCACAAAACCCATGGACTTCTATCTTGCCATTATTCCACTTACGTATTCCACGATCGAACGAACTGTTCGTCTGAAAGGGAAATCGAACAAAATCTTTGTCCAACGATCGTGCTCGTATCTGCGCATAATTCTCTGCTATCCGAGGAAACCATTCATTCAACGATTAAAAAAAAAAAAAAAAAAAAAAAAAAAAAAAACTGGCGAAGGAATTAAAAGAAACGACTACGACGTGGGAGGGGGAACTAACGATGGTTTTCTAAACGCAGAACGGCGACACAGCGTTGCACATTGCGGCGGCGATGGGACGTCGCAAGCTGACGAGGATCCTGCTGGAGGCCGGCTGCGATCGTAGCCTGCGGAACAAGCAGGGGGAGACGGCGAAGGACATTGCCAGGCGCAAGAACCTGCAGGAGATATTGGAGATAATCGGTAAAGCGCGAAGCAAGAGCAGAACGCGGAGCAAGAGCCGCGAGGAGGATAGTACGCCGGCGACGACGGTGGACAAGGTCGACGGGAAGAGCAGCAGCAAGAACGAGAAGAAGCGAGAGAAGACCGGTAGTGGTACCAGCGGCAGCAGGGATAGCTGCACGAAGAAGGAGAAAAAGAAGCACAAATCGTTCGGCAAGCAGAACAAGGTGCACTTCGAGAAGGCCGTGATGGGTAGACAGTGGTCGCCGTACGGTTGTCACTACTATCCCGATCCGGAAGCGTTTCCCCAGCCGCGTTTGGACTCCCTACCACCGGATCCGCTGGCCCGTGGCGAGCAGTACTATCTCGACTTGGCTGGCAACATCAGGAAGGGCCCGGTGGGAGTGGGATACACCTGCTACTGTGCCCCGTTCTTCAGGCATATGGAGGCCAAGCTGGAGAGGGACAAGGCTGAGCTGAAGGCCCACATAGATCAGGCGCACGAGAGATTGGACTTGAAGGTGGCTAATCTAGAAAGGAGGACCAGGGGGCAGATCTCCGAGTTGACGAGATGCGTGGCAGCGGAGAGGTCTCGATGCGACGAAAGGCACATACATCTGCAGCAACGTCTCTCCAGAGGTGGAAGGGGAAGACACAGCGAAAGACCGGTCAAGGCCACGTTCGCCAACGACCAACCGTTCCCACCTACTCGTGCCAGGTCTTTGGAGGATCTCCTGGATGACAGACCTCACGATAGGAGCTTCGAGATCCCCGGTGAAACACCGATTCATCGCGGCAGTCTGGACGATCTTGATATTCCTGCTATACCGCGCCTCAGCAAGTCCATGAGGGACCTTCCGTCCGGCTCTGGTGTCTCGAGGTCAACACTGAGGGTGCTAGACGTCCCGGCCAGATTGAACGAAACGTTCGACGGAGTGATCAAGCAGGATCGCAGCTCGCCGCTAGGCGCCGCCTCCTCGCCGTCGATCAGCTCCAGGCAGCAAGT